GTCGTAAATGGTAAAAAAAAACTAAAACTGTAGGTTCCCTAAGCTTGCTGTAAGTAAACGAATGTAAAAATCACACGCCGCAGAAATGCTGTAAGTAGCGTTAAGTTTTTAAATGGGAAGAAGTAAGTATTTGTAAAGAAAAAAATGCAGTTTTTCTTTTGCTGTAAGTACAAATTGTCTAAAATTACTGGATTTTGGTCTACATACAGCATTTAATCTTGCTAAAAAAAATATAAGTACGGGCGTTTTCAAGGGCGTTTGTAAATTTTTTTTCATCGTAGAGACACAGGACCCGAAACATTCGATGCGGTTTTTTTTTCTGATTCTAATGGCAGTAAAAAGTCACTTTAGGTATTTTGTCTACTTACAGCAAATATGCTTTCCTACGTCGATATAGTTGTTTAATTTCAAATACAAAATTGTTTTAATAAAACCCTGTAATGTTGTAGACAGTTGTACACAGCGTCAATAATTAAGATTTTATGTTTATTTAAACCACGATTTAAATAAAAGGAATAAAAGAGTTTTTAAATAAATAAGTTCTTAATAGGGCTTTTTATGAATCTCAAAATTTGTGGCTAAGCGTAAAACTCGAAGCCGGCTGGATCAATGCGAAGCGTAAAACTCGAAGACCGCTAAACCGATTCAAGTATTTTTTTCTTGAACTCTCAATGTTTTTATGGAGAGAAAAATTTGATCATATAAAGAAAATTTAGTTTTATTTAGTATTTAGGAAAAGCTAACAGTCTCTATGTTCGCATAGCAAAATGTTCCATATTGGCTACTAAAAAGGTACAAAATGAAACAAATCAGCGACGCTACAACCTTTTTGGGTCTGGGCCTCAGATTTCTGTATCTGTTTCATGCTCAATCATCAATCTAATGGGCAAGAAGATGATCAGCCTTCTATGCCTGACACACGGCATCGACTTTTGGGTCTAAGACATGTCGGTTTCCTCGCGATGTTTCCCTTCATCGTTCGAGCGAATGTTAAATGCGCACATAGAAAGTCCATTGTTGCACAGCTGGGTATCGAACCTACGTCCTCAGAGATGAGAGTCGCACGTTGAAGCCTAGGCCAACACTGCTCTAAAAAGTTAGACAAAAAAACCATAATTCATGATTTTATAAGTTGTTGAACCACTTTGTTCAACCACTAAACCACTGAACTACTTTATCCACTGTATAAACACATTCCGTCGATTTGCATTAATTACAAACGGCCCTTTGTGATTGTTTGTGATGCAATTGTATCAGTGCAGAGGTATTGTAACGAATTTCTGCCTTTATACGTGTCTCTGGTACGATTGAACAAGTCCCTAGCTTCGTATGCATCATTCAATTATCTTTTCGAAGTAAAAAATTTATACGATGCGCGCGCACACCGTCACAGAAAACCGACACCCTGAAGTTAGCATAGTCAACATTTTAAAATAAAAAATGTCAATTTCTTTAATTATGTAGAAATTTTTTTTTGCGATATTTAAATAAACTTTATTTAACTAATGCGTTATAATAAAACTTTAAATGTACCTACCTATTAAATACCTTTTTTCTATTGTTAGTGTCGTTTTTTCTACAAACGTAGAATAAAATTTTTGAAAAGATTTTTATCTTGTTACGCCAAAGAAGTATAACTTCTAAGTTCTAACGCGTGTACATAAGTACACACACATGTTTTTTTTTAAATATATGTCTTTACTGGCACCATGAAACATTATCTAGCCTAACTTAATACCTACTAATAATTTATTTAAATCTCATTAGTTATTTAATTGTGGGGCGGCCGAAAAATAATAAACGGCTCAAACATAAGAATCTTTCCTCCAACTTCGATTTTGTTCCCTTTGGAGTAGAGACTCTTGGGCCAAAGGGTTCAACTGGACAGGTGCTTATTAAAGATTTTAGTTGGCGCCTGGTAGATAGTACCGATGACTCCAGAGCTGGTAGGTACTTTCCTCGCTCAACGAATAAGTATCGTATCAGCGCTAAAGGTACATTTCCCCAGGGACCATACTTTTTAAATTTGTTTTTATTTTCTTTTTTTATTAATTTTTAATTATTTTTATTATTATGTAGGTTAAGAATATTCTAAATACTGTATATTTGATTGTTATGATTACTAATAAACGTTTTTATTTAAAACTTATTTACTAAAGGATATTTAACATAAGAAAGTGTCCAATAAGTAATAACACTACATAGGTAGTCTCTATTAGGGGAAAACACAGTCCCCGAGTTCTATTTTTACACTTACCACTAATATGAACTAACACTTAACGTTTAATTATTAAAAAATCCTTTTTATTTATTTTGTGTTCCTTGTTAAATTGATACAATTAAAAAAAATGCCCAATTTGTATACATTGTTTCATAATTTTTTAATATCAAAGCCAAATTCTGATTACCAATAATTATTAAACCACAGAATAACTAAATTCCACATGAAATTTCAAAACAAAGAATTCGAATAAAGAAATCAATCGCGTTCGAGTCAAGAATTTCCCAACCGTGAGTGCGAGTGAGATAGAACGATCCACAACTATTGATGTCAGACAGAGACGGACGCTGCGTTAATCCTATTGGCTTATACCGGGCGATGTTTGCCGCGATTGGTCGCTGTGCCTTATTGAACTGTCACTGAAGACCGCGGTTAAGGGGTGAACGGTAATTCGGGGGTAAATTGGGGGGGAAAGGTCGTGGGTGAAGGGGGTTTTGGTGATTGACTTGTGGGTAGTTTTTGGGGTTCCTTTGAGGGATTTATATTGAATCCTCTCAATTGATGCAGTCTTGGGCGGATTTCATCTGTTGTCTGTGCTATCTAATACAGGTTATGAATATAAACAAAGTAATACAAGATAGTCTATTATTTAATGAAAATTACTATACCTATCACAGGTTATGCCAAATTTTGTTCCTCTTTCAATTCTCTATTACTAAATATTGACACAGACTGACCTTCTTGCTGATAGCAAAGGTATGGTGTAATGCTAACTTTTTTTTTCAGTTGCATTTAACACACAAAAAGTTTTTATAATTTTTAAATGTACTTAAACACAATTAATGCCAGAGGGCTCGCGAGTGCGTTGCTGGTCTTTTAGGAATTAATACGCTCTTTTCTTGAAGAACCCCAATTCGAATTGTTTCGGAAATACTTCAATGGGTAGCTAGTTCCACATACAAAATCTCTCAGACCAACACAAGCTATATTTATTTCCAAATATTAAAAATCTCCAGCCGCGATAGGCCATTGTTAGAAGAAACTTATATTCCTGTACATTTAACTATTTAATTGCCTCCTACTAGTATATAATTTATTGTACTCACCATACTTTTTACGTTGCCTTTGCTGACATAAGAATTAGATTCTTGAATTAGCGAAATACTTTAGTTATTTCAAATTTGATTTGAAATTATGTAGTCAACAAGCAGCATCACAAACAAATTTATAAAACTGATAACACACATTCACATATTAATACAATAAAAAATAACTTCCAAGAGTTAACATCTTCACCATTTACATGAAATAAATTGCGTATATAACTCTATACATAGACAATAACATCCCGCCAAATATTCTGATTGGTGAAGAGAGCGCGGGAAATCTATTGACTTTTCCTCTCTGATGTCATTTTTCGCGGCAACGCCACGCCCTTCCCTAATATTCTATTCTCATTGGATCACAGATAGCAAACATCAAAATTTAAAATACCTAGCCTATGCCAGGAAATTATAAATCTGCGTTGTTTATGGCTTTTTGTATTGTTGCTTAATACGAAAGTTGCCAAATATTAGATAACTAAATAGGTACTTCTTGAATAAAAAAAAATTATCAAGTCTATGTATACTTTTTAATTTTATTGACACAACTGACAATGTCAAATCTAAGTTAATCGGTTATGAACAATGAAAGACGTGGCTACGGCTTTTAAAATTACTCACCAAAATTCTTTAATTATTACCAAGAACAAGACCTGGCTGTATGGACTTAAGTCCTTTGCCTTTCCCATAAGGGATAAATTAATATTATCATTAATCGGTTATGTTAGTAGTATGGTGCACTTATAATAAATAAAATATCTTAATTAAAGTAAAAACAATATATTTAACTGATAATTAAACATTCTCTGATTAAATTACACGGCGCATCGCAGCAATTGGAAAACCATTTCAATAAAATCGGCGTCATTATTCTAAATGGCGCGACGCAACAGCGTAATGCCACAAATTAAAGCTTAAAACGGGCGCTTAACAGCTGACCCAAACCCCCTCAAATAGGGTTGCCAACTGCATTAACTCACTGGTTAGAATAGGTACCTAGTTAATTCAGTAGTCTTGTGAATTTTCATATTTAAAAGAAACTTTTCCGGATTGCCGAAATGGTATTTAATTAGGTATCATAAATATCTTCTTGTTATGTCTTATTTTTTTTAATTATACAAAATAGAAAAGTAAGTTAAGTATTTATCAGCTAATTAAAACGTTAAATTAAATCTATCAAACGCGTTCAAATATTGTAAAATGAATTTTTTGAAATGGGTGTTACTAGCGTAAACAAAACGTAGGTAATACACATCCTTTAATTTTTTTAAATTTATGTTTTAATTAATGTTTGATAGAACATTTTTAATTCTTAGGTATAAGTTTAACACAAGTAAGCTTTATAAAAACGTAAAATACGGGCGTGAAATAACCATATCAGCAACCCTAATTCTTGTATCCCCATCAGAGAGGAAAAGCAACGGGGCGGAGCGGCCACGCCTTAACGCAGAGACGTCGTGTGCGGTACGTCAAAAGTGCTGAGAACGCCGCGGTGCGCGCGCGAATCGCTGTCACAGCGAAACGTCAACCCGCGTAGAAAATTGTCAATGACCAGTTGAATCTATATTAACTAGTAATTCTTAAATTCTTTAGCTACATATTAATTAATTAATATTTGTATGGAAATAAATGTGGTTGGCATAATTATAATAATCTGAATTGTGTGAATAATAAAAATGGAAGTGGCACAAGCACCGTTACAACTTACGCAAACAGAACATCCGGACAGCAGAATAGCTGGTAAATATCTGTAATGATATCTTTGTTTTATACTTTAGTGGTCTTATTTCGCTCATAGATAACTAATAAATACAATGCTATAAAGCCTCTTTTGTTAGTTTAAGTTTTCTAGTCTGTGTTAATTTTGTTTTAATATTCAAAAGAAATTTATTTCTGTAATTATTTATTACCAATTAGTATAAGGAATTTCCAAGCTTTTTAAATAATTATTATATTTATTCGTGGAAGCAGGTAGGTACCATAAGAGTAATAGCATACAAGTAAAGTAATACATTTTTGATTTATGGGAGTTATACTAAGCTTAAATTATCCCTTATGATTATTGTAACATAACTCGACTACAAAATTAATTTGTAGTCAGGAAATTTAGTTGGCATTGATCAGAAAAATTCAATAAAAGTTTAAATCAGTGTAACATAGGTGTTTTCAATAAATTATAATATTTTAATTCTACAGAGCGCTGGCCTAGTGGCTTCAGCGTGCGACTGTCATCCTTGAGGTATTAGGTCCGTCCCCGGTTGTAAATCAATGGACTTTCTATATGCGCATAATAAACATTCACGAACGAACGGTAAAGGAAAACATCGTGAGGAAACCGGCTTGCCCAAAAGTCGACAGCATGTGTCAGGCACAGGAGTCTCACCTACCTTCGTATTAGATTGATAATTGATCATGAAACAGATACAGAAATCTGAGGCCCAGACCTAAAAAGGTTGTAACGCCATTGATTTATTTTATTTTAATTATAAAAGAACAAGAGATTCAGAACTGATGCTTACCAAGCACAGTAATAATGCATTAATTGCCTCATTAAAACTTATAGCGTTATAAATAATTCCAGTAAATTTTGTATGAATTGAGAAATTTTATTAAATTTATTTATTATTTTAATATAAAATAATCTATATCAAAAATGTAAAATAAAATAATTAATAATTCCTGCAAGGCGTCTACGGCGTAGACATTCGCCGTGTTTCTTAAATTACCACAAATTATTTAGGTTTGTTGCGGGATCGATTTTAATATGTTTTTTTTTTACTACTTTAGTAAAAATAACTATATAATTTAAGACTTAAATCTTAAAAGGCTAAAATTAAAATGCACGGCAACGCACTGGCGAGCCGCCCTTTGGCATTGAGAGTGTCCATGGGCGGCGGTATCACTTAACATCAGGTGAGCCTCCTGCCCGTTTGCCCCTGTTCTATAAAAAATCTATAGAACACTTACCATTATTTTTTAGTATTATATAGTGATTGCATATATATAGGTACTAATAGGTATCATAAAGAAAAGTAGTATTTTTGTATATTTGAAACGAGTAAACCCAAAAACTACGAAATAGATTTTAAAATTTCAAATATTTATGTCCAAAATGTCCAGCTGTGCCGAAGCAGGCCGCTAATAAAAAAGATATACGATTTGTTACTATAAAAAATCAATTTACCGTCCGCCATTATTCAGTGTTACTATACCTTCATTTGTATTCCGAACACGATTTCCGGTAACGCGGGGTCTCTTCGACTGATTTTCAGCCACTCCATGATTTGCCACTTCCCCTGTCAGCGAATGTTTTGAATACAAAATAGCCAATAGATGAAATTCCATTTTCATGTTCTAAATTCAAATTATGTATTCGAATTTCAAATTACCGAGGTCGCTGGTTGAGTATAATATTTTATTTAGTAAAAAGGTTAGTGTACATTGTGTGCTTGGTCATATGAATTCTATAGATATTTGGACTAAATTATTTTGTACTAGCAACACCTTCCTGTCTCTGATTTGTTTGTTGTTCATATTACTTTCGTTCCAATAGTCATTTGTATAAATAATACTTAACATTTCACAAATTTAGAGATATTATTTCTCGAAAATATTAACGAATTTAACAGCACACATACGTATATATATACACACATTATACATTAATAAAATACATAACAAAACATATAGCTCGGTACGTTATGATCGTTCTTTTATGTAATATCTTTTGAAGGCTATAGGAAGACATAAAAGAAAATTGTATGAGACATAAAAAGTACAGTTTGGGAAATTGGAAGTCGCGGAGAGAGCGAAGTAAATCCCTGTATCAAGATAAATCAATGTTTGTACAGAGGCACTCATGGGCGGACAGGGAAGGGAATGGAGTCGTTTTTAAGATTTATTTATAATAAATAAGTAAGTTTATAAGTCTTTCTACATGTAAATATTGAGTTAGAAAATTAAACAACAACAACCGGTGGCGCTACAACCTTTTAGGTCTGTTTGTGATCAATTTTTTAATAGGCAAGTAGGTATGCGAATATAGACTCTGGCCCGTATTATAAATCGTCCATCAAACTTAAATCTAGTTTCAAGAGCTGTCAAAACATTTTTTCTGTAAAAAGTTTGGCATATTTGACTGCCTTCAAGATACGTGTGACTTGAGATACGAATTAGATACCAGAAAGTCTATTTATGCAGAGTCCGGGTTCGCACCTACGACCTCAGGTATGAGAGCCGCACGCTGAAATCCCTAGGCCAACACTACAAACGTGTAATGATTTAAATAAAAATTCAATTCAAGAACAAATTCTTCGTCTCTTTTGTTAAGTTAAAATTAAAGTTTGAAGCTCCACCTATTTCTCTGTCCAAGACACAGTCATGAAACTTTGTCGCTTGCCGTTTTATTTGGTTTTCTTTTGACGTACCCTCGCATTCTGATTAATACCCACCCCGCTATCTTTTCTTAAATGCTTTACTCAGCGTCTTTTTAAACACCTTAAATTTAAACTAAAATAAAGAATATTTCGTCCCCTCCGCTAAGTTGGTTCTCATGTTTATGCAAAGCTTTTGGACCTGGATTTGATCCTTGGAAAACAACAGTTATTTCGTATGTCGCAACTTTCACGTGAGGTAGTTTTGACTCAAATTGTTCTACAAATAATCTATATAGGTATTTATAGATGGTTTCTCTCTCACTTTTTAATCGGCAGCTCATCTCTGAGCGTCGTGGTCATCACGAAAGCATCTGGAGCTGACTATCTGTTTCCACCGGTTTCTGTTTAGCGCCTCTAATAACAGTGTAGAGTTTTGAGGACGTTAAGTCTTTTACTTGATCGGTCCATCTGGTAGGTGAATGGCCACGTGATCTTTTGCCTTCTGTTACCAACCACGATCAATTTCTCCAAGTTCTCATCGCCTCTGCTCATTGTATGGCCGAAATAAGATACAATTCGTTGTAGGCATACATGTTTTAGCTAACTTGAATCAAACATGGAATCGGGAAAGGCCGTGACAAATACGAATACAATACGATACTAAATGCCACTTATTTAAGGCCGCTTTTTCCAGTGCACCACCACTATGTCGAACCAGCTGCCTACCAATGATTTCGACTTCTTCAAGAAAGCAGTGTACCAATTCTTAAAAGGCAACGCACTGCGAGCCCTCTGGCAATGTTAGTGTCTATGGGCGGCGGTATCACTTAACATCAGACCTTATCACTTAACTCCTGCCCGTTTGCCCTCTGTTGTATATAAAAATAATATTATTATTTTTTTGATATCCGAGGTGGAAATGCAATAAATCGAGTATACTCCTCCGGCAAAGGCCGGCAACGCATCCTCTACATGGGTGTCTATGGGCTGCGATGACTGCCCTTTTTGGGCGTCCCTCAAACTCGTTTGCCCCCTATTATATAAAAAAAATGCTTTAGCGCATCCCCTGCCCTCAAAAGTTGCAAGGGTAGGTATGTGAGACTCGACCCACGCCAAAATTTCTGCTATTCAGAGACTGGGTGAGCAATACCCACTAAAACCACATCGAGTAGTTCCTACAAAGCCGCGTTATAGAGGCTCCGGGGTCGCTGTCGCATTCTACCGGGACATATAAAAAAATACGTGTGGCACTCTACCAGACTCAGACTAACACCCCTATCCGATCACGCTAAACCGATGTGAGACGCAGTATGCGTTCTGTCCCGCTCTAACGCGTATTGGCCGCACCGTCATCGTGTGTTAGGTTTATTTTCGTTACGGAATTTCTTGATTCGGTCGCCGCGCTCAAAGCCCGCGATAAAATCTATGCAATAGCTTAAAAAATCTATAAAATAATAACGTTTACAGAAATAATACAAATTAAAAACATTAAATTTGTTCCTTTTACTATATTCTATTGAGATTTTGTCCTATAATATGACAAAATATATAGCCGAATTTCGTTTTTGTTCAATTTATATATAAATTTTATCGCTAACATTCAAACCGAACCTTTGTGAATTAATACAATTTGTGAGTGCGTGTTCTGAACTAAATCAAATTACTGTACCGGGTAGTTAGTGATAATTGAACGACAATCACAGGGCGTGTTCATTGGTTTGGAGTTTATACTGGATAAAGAATTATTATAGAAAAAAAATATCATTAATAAACAGGTGGATCTGTGTTATATTGGATGGAGTTATAAAAATGCAAGGGAATGAAATCACGATATGATAAGATTAGGCATTTGTTACTGTTATTTGTTTCTTGGTATAAGTATATTTGATTTATCCCTTATCCTATCCTGAATCCTGATCAATCGTGATTTGTGTAATTTTTGTGTTTCCTTTTCTTTTGCATTGCGTCACTATTCGCTGTTCATGAATCTGTAAGATTAGCTTTTAAAGTTTTTAGTTTGTTATTAATATATATTTTTTTGTATTACTTTAGATTAAGGTTCTATATTTTTTTTTATAAAACATTTGGTTCTGCACTTCTCACACTCATCATGTTTCTTTTTTTAGTTTTTCTCTTTAACTAGGGTTGCCTGGAAGAGATCGCTTATTAGCGATAACGCCGCCCGTTGCATCCCTTATAATTTTTATGTATTGTGTAATTTGTGTTTCTTTTGTTTTTATTGCAACGCAGTGTAAATAAATAAAATAAATAAATATATTTGTTTGTTTCCAAATTTGAGAGTGCTTATAATAAGAAAGTTTGTCAATACATTGATGCTGTAAATCAATTTATTCATGATCGTAGGTACGATAAACATGTATTATTTTTGTCAAAATGATTGGCTAAACCGCTATTTTACTAGAAATTTTTTGCTTATTTATCAAAAACTTAATAGTAAAATCTAAAGGAAGAGTAATATTTTTATTGTATTTTTTGTTACATTATTGTCATGTGTTTTAGAAAAAATAGCTTGTAACATATACTGTCGATCATTATATATGATGTGGTGAACTTTAAAAATAAATAAAATAAAATTACTACCAATTCATGCAGCTTGCTTGGTACATCAATATCCCGCAATAAGTTAACATTATAATTTCTAAGCGACTGCAAATCGCCTTATCTTAATACGAAATCTGTGGCGTCCAGCAATCACTTAATTGATTCATTTAAAAACTATTATTATGATTCAAAGTTTACCCTTATTACATGGTAGTAAAGTGCATTGTAGAACTTGAAGCTCAAAAATAGTGACGTACTTACTCAAGGGTCGATACTGGGACCCCACTTTTGTATTGTATACAGAAATGCTATTAGGAAGAAAGGGTGTGATTTCAATAGTTATTTTATTAGCTTTATTGTGATTAAATGTATCGTAGCTTAGAGATAAAATTATTTAGCAGGTTGGAATAATATTACTGCCACTTGTAACAGTTTGCAAAAAGTCTAATTTCTCACTCATACCACTTAAAAACTACATAAAAAACATCATTGGTGCTACAACCTCTTATGGACTGGGCCTCAAATTTCTGAATCTGCTTCATGGTCATTTTTAAATCTAATAGGCAAGAAGGTGATCAGCCTCCAGTAACTGACACACGCCGTTGACTTTTTGTTTTCCTTCACCGTTCGAGCTAATTTTAAAATGCGCACATAGAAAGAAATTCTATTGGTGCACAGCCTACGATCTCAGGGATGAGAGTCGCACGCTGAAGCCACTAGGCGAACACTGCTCTAAAAAGGACATACTTAGACTCATATCGACGCAGCGTTTTAGTTTAGTATATTCTTAAAAGATCCTAAAAAATGAAACAGCCTTTGAAAATCGCTTCAGGAGTTTTAAAATATTTTACAGGCGAAGAAAGTACATCACCACTTCGCTGGTCACCACCTACATCCGCTGCATTGGTAGCTGCCGCTTTAGCACCGCCGGCGCTAAGGCCATGGCTGCCTGATCCACCTACAAAGAAGACCAATCACTTGGGTAAGCCAGGTTGGCATCAACCCCATTCTACATCCTACTTGTTTTCGATTATATTTTTATTTTTTTACTCTACATACAATGAATTACAGGGTATACTCTTTAAAACATCATTCGTTATAATGAAAAGATCTCTATAACAAGTTAATATGTTAGGTTTAACACAAAACCTATACATAAATTCACTCTTTATAACGTAACAGCCATTCTCTATAACGAAGAAATCTTTTCATATTTAGACATCAACAACAGACGTAAGTGTAATTGTTTTTATAAGCTTAAAAAACTAACCTATTGAGGTGCCTAAATTTCTAAGAAAGACACCTGTGGTAATAACAGCCTTCTCGCCGTTGTTATTGTTAATTTAATTAATTCGTGTGCCATTATTACATTGCCTGTAAGGAATTTTGGTCTCAGTTACTAAACGCACCATCGTCACCTATCTCTTATATATATATATATACATTATTGTGATTGGTTAAATTTGGATTTTTTTCTCTTTTTTTAGTCTCTATAACGAAAAAAATGCTCGTTCCCTTGAAATTCGTTATAAAGAATTTATGCTGTATATTTTTTATGTTTTCTATCATCAGTGATACTTCTACGCGGATTACCGTATGGGAGAAAAGCGTTTCCAGTAATGTTACTTGTATAAAGTATAAAAATATTTAATTTTGTGTTATCAGACAATTTTTCTATCTTTGCTAACTACTTGTTAAGTTGATACGCTGAATTCTTATATACAATTCCGCTTCTAATTTTAAAACCAGTAGGTATAATCATTGTTGAACTCCAGGTTTAGTCTGCGTTGTGTGCGGCGATACGAGCTCTGGAAAGCACTACGGCATCCTCGCGTGCAACGGATGCAGCGGCTTCTTCAAGAGGTCCGTTAGACGGAAACTCATTTACAGGTACGGTTACGACCTTTAACTTTTGCTAATTTTGATAAACAGTGTATGCTCTTTATAACGTTATAACGGAAAACTCTCTATAACGTTAAAACGAGTTAAATTTATTTGGTTTAACCCAATACATTTATTCTTCAGTCCCTATAGCGAAACCTCTCTATAACGAATGCTCGGTCCCTTTAAATTCGTTATATAGCGTTTAAACTGTATTTATTTTCTTCTAATCTGAAATACCTAAGTTCCATGCCTTTCCCAGGCCCGTGTTAGTTCAGAATGGACAGTTTTGTATAGTGCAAATATAAGTTTTCAATCCAGGGTATGTTAGGCAATATAGATTTCATTCCTATTGAGAAAAGCAATGGTATATTAATATTTTGCTACTAAAATAGTCAATATAGTCAAGAGTATATGTATTAACATTCCTCTTTATTTGTCATGAATTTCAATCAGAAGTTCAATCAATTTTGTCACATTTTAAAGAACAAAATAAACATTAGAAAACAAAGAACCATTTCTTTTGTTGGAGCTTGATAAACATGGAAACACGAGTTGTTATTAAAAAGTCGTAATTCAGCGAAACCTCATGAGTAATTTAACATACATTTTACTATTTGTTCAGTTGTCAACTAAATTTCAGGTCAGAAACCTCGATTTCAAAATTGCTCCCATTTTCGATGTATGTCAAACATTAAAGTCAATATTTAAAGCTAGTACAATCTGTCTTAACTTGTATATTTTAGTGATATATTTAAACCAATTTCCAAAAGGATTATCTAATAGAAGACGCCTGGAACTGTAGAATGATAACCTCGTATGTCAAAAAGCCATTTATTTTTTATTCTTAAACTCATGTGATTTAACTGGTGAATGGTAAATTAATAAATAAATCCTTTTTACCACCTAAAACTATGGACAAAAATACATAATAATATGTTATACGAGGTTCTCTGAACATACGAGGTTATCATTATACAGCGACGATATACCCAATTTTTCTTTTATTAGTCGTGTACCTTCAAATATATCTAAGTATATAGGCTTTTCTTGATTACCCACAGTTTGTTGGTAGTTTGATGGTACATACTTTGTACAATATTTACGATACAATCCGTTCGGCCTGCTATCAATAGCGTTAACACAAAACTTAACGGATTTTTACGGCTTTCACCAAAATGGTTCCTGACGAAGATTTAATTATACTTTCAGTACAACGATTTTAAATTTTCGTCTCTGTAGAATGATTACCTCGTATGTCAAAAAAACATTTATTTTTTATTTTTAGACTCATATCAAACTGGTATACCTAATCATGAAGTAAGGACTTATTTATGTTATTAATAAATAAGTCCTTTTTTCCATCCAAAACTATGGACAAAAACACAATAATATGTTAATGAAAATTGACGAAATGAAAAAAAAATTCGCTTCCTGTAATGTTTGGTTCTCTGGGCATACGAGGTTATCATTCTACAGCGACGATATACCCAATTTTTCCTTTATTAGTCATGTACCTTCAAATATATCTAAGTATATAAGCGTTTGTTTACTAGCCACGGTTTGTTGATAGTTTGGTGGTAGATATTTCTTACAATATTCACGATACAATCCGTTCGAACGCACTTTCGTATAAACGCTATCAACAAAAAACATGGCGGATTTTTACTCCTTTCTGAGGAAGGGTTTAAAAAATATACCTATATAAGAACTATAAAAAAAACAGTGGCATTACAACCTTTTAAAGTCTGGGCCTCAGATTTCTGTATCTGTTTCATGATCATTTGTCATTCTAATAGGCAAGTATGTGATCAGCCTTCTGTGCACACGCCGTCGACTTTATTGGTTTAAGGCAAGCCGGTTTCCTCACGAAGATTTCCTTCACCGTTCGAGCGAATGTTAAATGCGCACATAGAAAGAAAGTCAATTGGAGCCGGGGATCGTACCTACGACCTCAGGGATGAGAGTCGCACGCTGAAGCCACTTAGGCAACACTGCTCAAGATTTAATTATAATTTCAGTAAAACGATTTTCATTTTTAACATTTTATAAGAATGACAAATCGTGAGTTGTTTGTTCAAGTGTTGACTTGATCTGTGTCACAGTTGTGACCTTATTATTGATATTTTTAATTCATTCATGGTTTGTAACATCCGGTTTAGATCAGCCTTGCGATTCTGTAACTGACTTTTCGAACACTGTTTAAGCAATAAACTACAAGCTCCCTCCTTATCAGAATGCCAAATCGTAAAATGACTGATTCACGACTGATTTGAGCGCGACCGCCGCTGTGAGAGTTCGAAAGTGAGTTACAGAATCGCAAGGCAGGTCGACAATATTTGTGGAGGTTCTAATTTAATATATAAAATTCTCGTGTCATGGTGTTTGTAATAAACCTCCGAAGTGGCTCCACCGATTTCCGTGAAAATTTGTGTGCACATAGGTTAAGTCGGCGAATCGGACAACATCATTTTTCATCCCTCTAAATGTTAAGGGTGCCCTAAATTTTAATTTTTTAGTCAATTTTGTTTTGTTTTTATATATGACAATACTTGGCGATTAAAAAGAGCGGCGGAAAGTTTCTTACCAGTTCTTATTACCCGCTCTACGCCCTTGACTTGCTAACTGGTAGTAAATGTAAATTTACAATTAATTTAACTTCTTTCTGACAATTCATAAGTGTACTTATTTACCTACATGAATAAAGATATTTTGAGTTTGAGTTTAAGTTTATGTAGAAATAATTTTTTTGAAGTTATACCTACTTCTTTAGGCACGTTATGAAAAATTGATGAGAGTGAAATTTTTCGATGCCCGCGCACCGTGACACAAAATTAACAGAATCAAGTTGCCCACGGAAGATGCTACGGCATTGGACATAATTTAAAAACAACATTCGAATAATAATAGATTTATGTTACACTTAATGTAAGAAAATAATAATAAATATTTATTTATTTAATTTTACAAATGTAAACTGAACTTTATTGACTATAATGACTCCTTTTCCAGTCTTTGATTATTTAATTGTAATTAATTATTTGCATGCAATCAAAAACTATTTTTAATAATGCAAAAGAAGTATATTTCCTTACGCGCGTACATAAGTAGGTACCCTTTTTTTGTGATATTTAAATAAACTTTATTTAAATAGATAATGCGTTATAATAAAACTTTCAATGTTTTAAATACCTTATTTGTATTGTTAGTGTCGTTTTTTCTACAAACGTAAGAATAAGGCAAAAGATAATTTTTTTGAAAAGATTTGTATCTTGTTACGCCTAAGTAACATCTAACGCGTGTACATAAGTACACACACGTTTTTTATTTATAAAGACTTATAAAAGTCCCATTACACGGCCACCGTTTTTAATTATCGTAACAAAAGCCGTTCAATTCCTCATTACAATTCAATCTAAAAATGCAAAAAATCAAGTGCCCCTCGGTACCAAATCCTTTAATCTCCATCAAAAACCTGTCGCATCTGTAACAAAACTGCGGATATGACAATGGGGGACTAGATTCCACTTAATCCATTCAGAATGCTCCTAATTCTGTTTGCATCTGTGGCCCAGTTGGCTTCTTTTGGTGTTTCAAAATACCGTACCTACAGCAAAAGTACTAGGGAGTTATAAACAATAAGCGTATACTCGCAAATGCTTCAAGAGAAGAGCGTACCAGTTCTTAAAAGGCTTGACTTGCGCTCTGGCAAAGTGTCTATAATAAATAAAAAATGTATGCGTGTACTAGTGTACGCACGTAAGAAGTGAAACTTCTTTATGACCTTATTTTACGAAAAATGATCTACTATATGCAACTTTACAGAAATTGGTTAAATAAAGTTAAACTTAGATATAGTTTAAAAAAAGGCTTTTATGATCATAGACATAGATAGAATAGAATAAATAAATAGAATACAAATAATACAATTATTTCATCCTACCTTATTACTACTAAGATTATTACAGAATTTCATTAATTGTAATATAATTATTACTATCATTGTTATCGTTATTATATATTTTTGTTTTTATATACATTTTATGAACGCACTACACGGTTTTTGACATACATAATAATGATTTACAAGCATAATTTCTATTTATAACTAAACATAATACCTACTGCAATATTAATTAAATATAACGTGAAAAAAATTATCCAATATAAATAACAGTACGTTGCGGTAAGCCTGAAGTTAGTTTTCAGAGGTAGGCAAACTTCACAAACAACAAATTTTGCAACGAATTAATAAACTGGATCCGAAATCGCAGGACAAGAAAAATATGGCGCGTAACGGAAAAATGTGACGACGTCACGTGACGTAAATATTTTTCCAACGCCGATAAAGAAGTTTCACTTCAATAATAAATCGTTTATTTGCAAACAAAGTGGTACATTCAGATGGATTAATTATAAAAAATACAATCAGCCATATAAGAATAGTCATACAAATGTCATATTAATTATCATGATGTCATAATAATAAGAACAGTTGTTTATAATTGTTGTCAAAACTTATGGCATAAATACTCTCTCACGCCATAAAGGCACCTTGGGCGGCGGTTAGTTTTGAAACAATTTGTTTTCATGTTGCCAGATGGCTCGTTTTTGCCTGTCTTTTAAGAACTGGTACGCTCTTTTCTTAAAGGACCCTAAGTTGAATTCATCGGCGGCTAGTTTCACATAGTAATGGTGCGCGGCAACAAAAAACCTCTCAGTTGTACGACGGACGTCGTGTTGATATGGATGGTATTTTGTATTTTGCTTTGACGTCTGATGATGGAACTGATCTGTAGATATTAATCCGAACAACTTCTCTGACCACCATAATATAAATTAGCGTTCTTTATTATATTTCGTAATAACTCCGTAAAAATCCCGAACAAGGGTAGATAACATAAAACAGTTTAACATTTGGACCTCTCATCCCCTTTCAATTAAACCGGCCTCAATATTATAATCGACCCTCAGACATAAGTGTGACATGTGGCCCTTTAGCAAATTGATTTACCAAATCTGTACAATGTTTTGATTGGTGTTGCGGGTCTTAAAATAGTGATTTAATTGAATTATAATAAAATATGGATGGTAGAAGAGAGAAGAAGAAAGAAGAGGTTACAGTATATACGTAGCGTGGCGTATTCCATTTACTCTTACTGTGGTAATTCACTTCTTCAAAAATATACGTTAATCCCTCATTTGTCACTTTGACAATTAACTTTTTTGACAGTATACAGTTTTACCCATTGACTTATTACTAGGGAGATGTTGTCCAGATGACAGACCGCGTTGTGTACATGACTTATAATTAATAGCAGAAAACATGTCTTCCAATTTAAAATGAAATTAAAATTTTCATTCATGTAGTACATTTGCTAGATTCCATTGTGTTTATTTTTCAATATACAACATATAAAACGAAAGCACGTGGTTACGGTTAGGGAGCTGCTGCTTTAGCTGGCGTTTCAACGATTTTGTTTCTGGTATAGGGGGGCAATCTAGGCTATGGGACGCCCATAAAGGGACATTGCAGCCCATGGACAAATTATGTACCTATATTTGGGCTCATTATATGTTTAATAGTACGGTAAATGAGACTTCAACGAGAAATCTACGTAACAATCTATATATCAGGCAAAGGTTGAACTGAAAATATAAATAAAACAGAACCAGATATTTATTTATAACCATACAACTAAACTAATCAGTGTTTGCCTAGTGTGTTCAACGTGCGACTCTCATCCCTGAGGTCGTAGCATCGATCCCCGGCATACACCAATGGACTTTCTTTTACACATTTAACATTCACTCCAACGGTGAAGGAAAAGATCGTGAGGAAACCGGCTTGCCTTTGATCCTAAAAGACACGCCATGTACACAGGAGGCTGTTCACCTATTCTATTACATTGACAAATGATCATGAAATACATACAGAAATCTGCGGCCCAGATCTAAAAAGGTTGTAGCGCCACTGATTTTTTCATTTTTTTATACAACTATCCATTTGAGGCCTAGATCCATAAAGGACTGTTGCGCTGTATTATTACTTAGCTGGTGCCCGCGCATGCGCAGGATTAAAATAATATTTGTCCAAATGATGTAGCGTGAAAGAGATATACTTTAAATACCAGAAGCGATAAAAGTATCTTTTTTCATTTAGAATCAATTTATTACCTACTACCAAATGTGCATTTGAAATAAATTATCAAATTTTCATTGTAGTAGGTTCACTATTTTGACTATAATCGCTTACACATATCTATATATATATGGCGGGCTTTTTTGTAAGACTATTTAAGATAAACATTTCCATCATACATTACATATGTGTAACTGTGGTTTTGGCAGCGCACGTCAGAATAGCTCGCAGATGGTAGATTTCTTCCTACTTACTTATTTTGTACAATCCACACAATATCTTTATAAATTGTAGTAGTTGTTATTCTGATGTTTAAGCTATATTATTGTAAAGTTTCATTAAAATCCATTCAGTAGTTTTTACGTGAAAGAGTAACAAACATCCATCCATACTTACAAACATACGAGTTTTTATTATTAGTAGGATTCCGCATTCAAGATACTTGACATTACTTTCGAAAAATATACGCTCTCCTACTAGGTATACAGTATAGAAAGCATCTATCCAGTTTCTGTTTGCAACAAATGTCACTGCGAAAGCCTATTATACGAAGGATTACTGGTAATGAAATATCTTTAATCTTTATTAGTATTTCTTGCTTTGATCGAATAGTTTTTCCTCTAGCGGGGATTGGGGCCTGATTGCTTTTCCTTCGTCTTGTGCGAACTGCGAGACGCGGGATTTATTACATTTTCTCTTACTTAGATTTTTGTTATGTGTCTATGTTGGGGAATGCTTGCTTTAGTAAATTATTAATAATTAACTTACGGACCCGATATACGTCTTAAAAAATAAACATCTAATTGTAAATCTAATCGAATCTCGCATCAAAACTCAAACAAATTCATCAAAAAGACTTTAATTACACATTAAACGGTTTTGGTTTTTTAATTTTTAAATATATATTATGCAAACCTTGCCTGAACTTCCACAAATATTTCAAGATCAAAATTAACCAAATCGGTCCAGCCATTCTAGAGTTTTAGAGATAATGGTTTCTTAACCATATCCTATCCTGCTAAGTCGTGACTTTTGTAATTCTTTTGTGTTGCATCGCAATTCATAAATCAGTGAGATTAGGTTTTAGTTAATTTTATTATTTTTTTATATTATTTTAGATTCAAGTTGGTGATTCTATATATTTTTTATAAGATTTGATTATGCACTTCTTGCACTTTACCCACCATAACTTAACCATTCTTTTTTTAGGGTTTTCCCTTACTAGGGTTGCATGGAAGAGATCGCTTATTAGGGATAAGGCCGTTGCATCTCTTATAATTTCTATGTTTTTCTATAAATGTAACGGAGAGTAAATGAATAAAAACGAACAAACAATTAATTTTTAATATTTAGCTAAAACAAAGAAATGCCTACTTGATACATTTAGGTAATCACACTGCCGTGCTAGGCAAACATCATTGTTTTTTAAATTATTAATTATTTTTCTTGCAAGCAGATGCCAAGCGGGAACCGGTCGCTGTGTGGTGGACAAAGCACATAGAAACCAGTGCCAAGCTTGCAGACTGAAGAAGTGTCTTGCAATGGGAATGAACAAAGATGGTAAGTTTTGATATGCCTTCAAACTTTTGATTGATTGAGCAGTGTTGGCCTAGTAGCTTCAGCGTGCGACTCTCATCCCTGAGGTCGTAGGTTCGATCCCCGTCTGTGCCATGGACTTTCTTTCTATGTGCGCATTTAACATTCACTCTAATTGTGAAGGAAAACATCGTGAGGAAACCGGCTCGCCTTACACCCGTTGCCTTTCCGTACAAAAGTCGACGGCGTGTCAGGCACAGGAGGCTGATCACCTACTTGCCTATTACATTGATCATTGGCTCTTGATTTGTGAACTGGTAGTAAATGGAAATTTAGAATCAATTTAACATATTTTCTTATGACGTTCATAAGTGTACTTAGTTACCTATATCAAAAAAGTTATTAAAAAAACGACTTTGAAAGACTATGAGAAGATAGTTAATACATATGCACTCAGATTTAATACATTTTAGAATAGTCTAATACTGTCTATAAATATAAATGTTCAAATATTCCAGTAAGAACTAAACCTTGCAGAAAATGCCGGGCGTTTTTAAATGAGCTACCGTAATATTAAATTATCTCCATTTAATTGTTCCGTTGGGGTCGTGTCGGCACACATTTCATGGTACAGTTCACTCTGTGTCTGACGGCTAGCATATATGTTTTGATATGGGAGTGATTTTGAGCTTATTGTTCTTAATTTGATGGGCTCTGTTTATTTCGTTATAGAGAAATCTTGGTCAAGTGTAAACTCAAATTTACTTTAATAAATTAATAATTTTTTACCCTTACAAATATATATGTATACTACAACAAAGTAATAATAAAAAAAAAGAAAAAGAAAATTTAAAAAGTTTGGTCCCTATGGCAGTGTACCTTTAACGCAGCATTTCCTCGCTGTATTGCGATACTTATTCGTTAAGGAAAGCAACAGCTCTGGGGTCACCGGTACTATCTACCAGGCGCCAACTTAAATCTTTGTTTATATTTTTGTAAATGATATTATTACCTTCATACAGACAGATGTATTCTAAAACGTAAACTAACTTGCGCTTAGCATTAAGCACTGTGGTCCTAACTTTGATTTTAGTCGCAAATTACTGTTCAGCTTAGAAGGCAGTTAACGATACTCCTTAATGGGTAAAGACAAAGTTAAACCATTCCAGTAATTTTGTGAAAGAAATATTGTTCCCTTGCCATTGTGTAGAGATGTGGGGTCACTCTCCATCTTCTACCGCATTAACCATGGAGAGTATTTAGAGGAGTTTAGCTGAGTTTCATCATTGGACGTCGAGTCAGAGTACGAAATTCCACCCGTATCTCCTCGACGTCCGTCGTTCCACAACTGAGCGATTTTTAGGGTAGTTTTTGCCGCACACCATCACTATGTGGAACCAGCTACCCACTGAAGTATTTCCGAATCAATTCGATTTTCTTCAAGAAAAGAGCGTGGCAATTCTTAAAATGCCGGCAACGTACTCGCCAGCCCTCTGGCATTGAGAGGGTCCATCAAAAAACTTAAAACATCAGATGAGCCTCCTGCCCGTTTGATGTCTGTTCTATAAAAAAGACGTGGTAATTTATATTAGATATATCATGCTATTTTTCCCAGGTTGACTAAGTCTTTATGATTTAATCTCATAGCTACAAATAGAAGAAACAAAATTCCTAATCTCCTCTACGTATATTTAAGTCACAACTAAGTTTTAAAGACATTTTTAAATATGTAACCTGGCACGCGTCGGCACGCGACCATAACCGTTCAGTATACAAATGAGGGCTTATTCGACCCTAAAAATAGTAATTTTTTCGGTTAACCCGTGCATAAGTTTGTTAGTTTAGTGATCAATTCCGGTGGGATTGAAATGGTGTAATAATGTATAAAGGGATAAGTTAAACTTTACGCGTATTAACTAATTGAAGCATGTCTGAAGAAGAGAAAATTATTAATCAGTATGAACAGTTGGTTGGAATTATAGTCAAATTTTGAATCAATGTTTAAAAACCATTAAACAGAAATACTTTGTGAAACCAGATGCCGATTGTTTCTGAACCAATTCGCCTTATTGGTCCTTCAAGAGCACACCGATTTATGAGTGTTAATCACTTAACATCTAATGACCCTCCTATCCTAGACTGTGTCAGTTAATAGTTTTATTTCACCTCTATCTTTTTCAATTCTTGTTGAAATATTAAGTTCTATTCGAAAAACTAATATAAAGATGGCAACAACTACCTATGGGTCAAATTAGACAGATATGCCACCGAAATTGGACTTGTGTATAATCCTGGAGATACAAACTTCTCAAAGTTTTTGGAAGAACTTCGCTTGCAACTAAGAGAAAGAAAGAGGGCTGTAGTCTTTGGGGATTTTAATATAGATCTAGTGAAAAAGAATGAAAAACAAACTAAGCAGTATATGGATGTAATGGACGAGGCTGGATATAACATCATAAATAAAATTAGGAAAAAATATTGTACACGTGACTCGAAAACACGTAAATCAATAATCGACCACGTGTGCTCAAATTTAAGAAGTGACCGTTTTCATATGGCATTTATTGAGACAGGAATGTCCGACCATAGGCAACTTTATATCGAGTTAAAAAAATCCAAGGCCCCGCAGTTAATATACTCTGAATATGAAGCCATTGACTATGCTAAATTTAACAAACTATTCACGACCTACAATTTAGATGTAGCAACACTTGATTATTCTTTACTAGAAGATACGATTAAGGACTGTGTAAGGAAATGCAAACAAGTAAAGAAAAATATACTTAATCCACCTCAGAAAGATTGGATAAGTGGAGAAGTCATTAGTGCAATTCACTTTAGAAACCAATTATGGGCTGAACTGAAAAAAGATCCTACAAATATAGTTGTTCAAGCACAATATACTACTACAAGAGATACGGTCAAAAGGAAAATAAGGGAAACTAAAGATAATTACTTCTCCAACGAATTTATTAAACACGCTAAAAACCCTAAAAAAATGTGGAGTCTAATAAATAAATTGGCTAGTAACAAGCTAAATAAAGATTGCACACCTTCCAAACTTATTATAGACACTAAAGAGTTAACTCAAACAACCGATATTTGTGCTGCTTTTAATACATACTTTTCTACCATAGGGCTAAAACTAGCCAATGAAATACCAACACAATTTCACATTAATTTTACACTAGCACTTCCTCAAAGTCTTAACTCTGAACTATCTAACTTTAATCCATGCACAACACTTGAAATCACTAATATAATAAAAACACTAAACACGAATTGTAGTAGTGGAATAGATGGGATCAATACTAAAACAATAAAATGCGTAGTTGATCATATTTCTGAATATCTCTCGATCTGCTTTAATAAGCTGCTGCATAATGGTGAATTTCCGGATTCTCTTAAAAAGGCCAGAGTTGCTCCTATCCATAAATCTGGCCCCAAAACCGAACCCGGCAATTACAGACCAATATCTATTCTACCTACAATATCAAAAATATTAGAAAAGATTATTTACTCACGACTTGACACTTACTTGCAAACTAACAATTTCATTTTTAAACGCCAATATGGTTTTAGATCAAAAAGCAGCACTTTATCAGCCACAGCCGATCTCGTTAGCGACATAAAACAAAATATTGACTCTAAGAAAATGGTGCTGGGTGTCTTTATTGATCTGAAAAAAGCGTTTGACACCGTAAGCCACAACTTATTGCTTAAAAAATTAGAATGCATAGGAATAAAAGATCGTGCACTAAAATTATTCAAATCATATCTATCAAACAGAACCCAGATAGTAAAAATAGGTAATGCTCAAAGTTCAGAAATACCAATAACATGCGGCGTCCCACAAGGATCTATATTAGGTCCATTGTTATTTTTAATATATATTAACAACATTCACGAACTCGGTTTACACGGCCGAATCACTCTCTACGCTGATGACACCTGCTTATTTTACTTTGGTTCAAATATCCAGACTATGGTTGCTCAAGCTCAATCAGACCTAAATGTTCTATCTTCTTGGTTTCAACAAAATCTACTAACAATTAATATTTCAAAAACATCTTATGTAATATTCAAGGCAACAAATAAACTCATTCCTATCTTTCAACCGCTTAAAGTTCAAGACGTTGAAATCAATAACAAAAAATGGGAGAAATATCTGGGTCTTAGAATGGATACAAATTTAAAATGGAACTTTCATATATCACACATAATTACCAAACTAAAATCACTTATAGGCAGATTTTGGTCAATATCTAAATGCATTCCGCAATCTGTACGTCATTTGATCTATAATTGTTTAGTCAAGCCACATTTCATATACCTAATTGAAATATGGGGTACAGCATGCAAAAACAAAATTTCTACAATACAAACACTACAAAATAAATTAATAAAAGCACTATTCAGATACAATTTTTTAACACCTACTAATAAAATCTACCAAGAAACTAAAATTATGACGATTAAACAACTATATGTTTATAGCACCTGTATCCTTATTAAAAAAAATTTAAATAACTCTCTACATAGTAACTTATCATTTAATAAAATCAAATACACCACTACACGCAATACTCGTCGAGCGAGTTTGCTTATCTTGCCAAAGCCGCGCACAAATTATTTAAAGAGATCTATAAAGCCGGGTCCACATTTGTAGCATGTTGACGTATCACGATCACTCGTATCGTATCTAGTGTTTGTATCATAAATATGGACGCTCATTTTGTCCATGTCGTATATTTAAGGCGTATCATGTAAAAAACGCGTCCATACTTATCGAATGCTGTATCATGTCGATGTATCGGCTTTAACTTTACAAATATAGACGCTTCACTTTTCTTCCGATGTATCCTGATACGCGTGTCTTTCAGTGCACCTTTCCCTTCTCGTACGGTTCAGTCATGTCTTCGTTCCCAAACGGTTTAGCCATGCCAGCAATTGCTCACAATTTGGCGGTGACTTGCGCCTGTTATATTATAATTAATAGTATTTCAAAAAAAGTTAAATCCAGACGTAGACGGCGCTGGTGGGAGCTTGAAGTGTTTAGAAACCGAAACAAACATGGTGGAATACCATTGATGCGAGATTTAAAATTTCAGCATACCAGTGGAAAATACAAAAACTTCACTCGCATGTCACCCATTGATGTTGAGTATTTAATAAACATGATTGGCCCAGTGATTAAAAAAACTGATACCAAATTTAGAAACGCGATTTCAGTGAAAGAAAGACTTAGTATTACTCTAAGATTCCTCGCAAGTGGGGATTCTTTTACAAGTTTGCAATATACTTTCAGAGTATCGAAGCAAGCAATTAGTCTAATAGTACCAGAGACTTGTCAAGCTATTCTCAATGTATTAAAACAACAAATAAAGGTAAGCCATATTTTATTATTAAAGTAAAAGAACATTACAGGTTATTAAATCTTACAAGGTCACTAAAATCATCAGAATGTTGCGACTTTTCAGAATTAGCAACGTTCTGATTTGGCGTTGAAGCCGGTGTAGACGCTTGACTGGAGTTGGAGTCGGTTAAATAACCTCTTTCCCAGTCAAACTCTCCTCTATCAGCAGAAAACAATATGTTGTTTATCTGGTGTTCAACAGCCATGTAAGTAGTGGCTGTATAAGTTCGAAATTTGGACGCTAAATAATTTGCGTAAATTTGATATTGATCTGGTGCAACAGCTGCAGATGAAGCAGTACTGGCAAGAGTAGCAGTGGCAGCTTGTGCTGAAGACCTCATCAATTGCAATGCTTCACTTAGGATTGGGTCATTTTGCAAAACACTTTTTTTTGCCTTTTTTATTGGTACAGGATGCTTGAATTTTGTCGCTGCAGACGCTGGGTTCCTGGACTCTTGCGTCATAGTCACTTGGCTCTCATCTAGTTGACTCTCGGGAGTCTCAGGTACCTCGTTCACATGTGCTTGGTTCCCGATTCCTTCCTCCGCTGATACTTCAGATCCATCGTCGAGTACTTTTTCATTGTCCTCAATTAAATCTTCCTGTAATTATCAATAACAACATTAATTTAATTTAATATTCTGATGTTTGTTACAGTTACCGAACACGCCTCATAAATGGGAACAAATCAGCGCAGAATTTCTGAATATGTGGAACCTACCAAACGCAGTTGGTGCAATGGATGGAAAGCATATCACGTTGCAGGCTCCTTTTAATTCTGGATCTGAGTTTTTTAACTACAAAGACTTTTTCAGTATCGTTATGTTTGCTCTTGTGGATGCCTCCTACAACTTTTTATTTGTGGATGTTGGGTGTCAAGGAAGGATTTCAGATGGTGGGGTATTTAATAATTCCGTATTGAAGACAAAAATTGATAACGACTCATTGAATCTTCCACCCCCGAAGGCATTAGAAGGAACAGATTACATTGTTCCAAATTACTTTGTTGCTGATAGTGCATTTCCTTTAAGCAACTATATTATGAAACCCTATTCAGGGCAACATGCCAAAGGGTCAATGAAACGTGTATTTAACTATAGGCTTTCAAGAGCACGCAGGGTTGTAGAAAATACTTTTGGTATTCTGTCAAGTGTTTTTAGACTTTTAAGGAAACCATTGCTGCTTGAACCTGAAAAGGCTCAGTTGATAGTGATGACTATATGCCACCTTCATAATTTTCTACGGAGAAGCCCAAATTCTGTTAATACGTATACGCCGAGAGGTACATTTGATACAGAGATAGAAGGCACAATAGTACCCGGAAGATGGAGGGTGGATAATACCGCCACAACATCGTTTTTGCCAATAACGAATACTCCTCGTAGACCAACATTAACAGCGGTAAATATGAGAGACCAAATTGCTGAATATTGTTATAATGTAAGAACATTACCATGGCAAAATGATGCATAGGTAGGTTAAATAGGTACTATTTTGCAGCAGAAATGACACTTGACCGTTGGGAAATCACTTTAAATGCTTATTTTATTAATACAGTTAATTAATTTGTCAACCTAGTAAGTTAAAGCTATACTTACGGTATTAATTCTGTCTCGTGGCTTGTTTCTGTCGAGAAGAAACAACATATGTGGGTAAGCAAACCAGGATGATCGGTACACTTCATCAGAACCTGTAATAAAATAAATTAGAAGAAATTTTTACTAAAATAAGTCAATTGTTTTGTAATTAACTGTGTAGGAAGTAGGTAATTGTGTAGTAAGTAATTAAAATAGACGTAAGCAAAATAAGAGGGTACCTATATAATTCAATAAAAATACTAACCTTGACCCGTAGTTTTTGTTTTTGTAATTTTTTGTTTTTCTCGCCGAAGGGCCGCCAACAAGTAATCCATCTTCTTTTTAATTTGTTCCAAAGGACGTTGTAACTCTACCTCCAGTTCATCCCAAGCGTCTTTTTTCAACAGTTTGTTGAAGTAATTCTTCTGCTTGGGATCCCATAACAGCTCTTTTCTTTTATAGGCATCGATAAGTTTTATAACACTTTCGTTATCCCAGCTCATTTTTATCCTCTTTCACTACAACTAACAACTACTACACTTAGCTCAACAATGTTTATTTCACTGCATTCAAGTCTAAACTTGTTCGATACGATGTGTATTCCCTTTGATGATCGCGAAAAAACCGACACAGGATGGTTCGCGGTGTATCAAGTATCGTATCGCGATACAGTATCGTGATACAGTATCAAAATACGTCCATACCACCGATCGTGATACGCGTATCGGATACGAGGTGTATAAAGATACGCGCTTAGTGCGGATCGGGCCGTATCCGATACGGCATGTATCATGAACGGGTATCATGTTGCGTCAAACTAACGATCATGATACGCGCCGAAGCCACGCAACGGAGATACGATACACCGAAATGCTACAAATGTGGACCCGGCTTTAGGTATGAGGGTGTGCAATTGTTTAATCGGTTGCCGTCTAAAGCCGGGTCCACATTTGTAGCATTTCGGTGTATCGTATCTCCGTTGCGTGGCTTCGGCGCGTATCATGATCGTTAGTTTGGACGCAAAATGATACCCGTTTATGATACATGCCGTATCGGATACGGCCCGATCCGCACTAAGCGCGTATCTTGATACACCTCGTATCCGATACGCGTATCACGATCGGTGGTATGGACGTATTTTGATACTGTATCACGATACTGTATCGCGATACGATACTTGATACACCGCGAACCATCCTGTGTCGGTTTTTTCGCGATGATCAAAGGGAATACACAACATCAATGGGTGACATGCGAGTGAAATTTTTGTATTTTCCGCTGGTATACTGAAATTTTAAATCTCGCATCAATGGTATTCCACCATGTTTGTTTCGGTTTCTAAACACTTCCAGCGCCGTCTACGTCTAGATTTAACTTTTTTTTAAATACTATTAATGATAATATAACAGGCGCTAGTCACCGCCAAACTGTGAGCAATTGCTGACATGGTTAAACCGTTTGGGAACGAAGACATGACTGAACATTGCGAGAAGGGAAAGGTGCACTGAAAGACACGCGCATCATGATACATCGGAAGAAAAGTGAAGCGTCTATATTTGTAAAGTTAAAGCCGATACACTGACATGATACAGCATTTGATAAGTATGGACGCGTTTTTTACAAGATACGCCTTAAATATACGACATGGACAAAATGAGCGTCCATATTTATGATACAGATACTAGATACGATACGACTGATCGTGATACGTCAATATGCTACAAATGTGGACCCGGCTTTAGCTTCGTAACATTAGCGTGATTGATCAGTTCAAAAGGGCATTAAAGACACACATCAGAATGGGCCCATTAGACTAGAATTGGGCTAGCTGATGGCGACGTGTATCTCGTTCGTATATATACTTAATATTAAATTTCTCATGTAAATAAAAAAAAAAAATTTTTGTAATGAGAAATAAAGTTCTTTAAACATTAAACTAAAATATTAATTAGTAAATATTTTCCACACAACCTCCAGGCTTCATACGGTAGAAATGATCCGATACAGTCACGTTAAAAGTACTTGATTTGTGGTATTGCTTGACCAGGATAATGAGAGGTTATATTGGATCGATCCTCACATACCCTTTTAACTTTCTCATTAGATTTGTTGTAGGGACTAAGGCCAGAAATTAAACCAAAATAATTAAACCGTTTATTCTAACCTAATCATAACAATCAAATATCCAGTATTTACAATTTTCTTAATCTACATAGTAGTAATAAAAATTAATAAAAAGAAAATTAAAACGAATTTAATAAGATTGGTCCCTGTGGCAGTGTAGTAAACGCTAGCAGCATTTCCACGTTGTATTGCGATACTTATTCGTTGACCGAGGAAAGCACCAGCTCTGGCGTCACCGGTAGGTACTATATATCTAAATAATTAAATACATTTTCATTCGGATTTAAAAATACATGAATAATCGTTCGGTTATGTAACCATAAGCAATATTCATAAAAATAAGCAATAAATATGTCATGAAGCGCAGTTCTCATGCGATTATCTTAGTCCCCTTGAGTATTAAGTTGGCAAGCTGTTATTAGTAACCCTTGCCTGAGGCTTACCATTGTCCCAATTCAATTCTCCCTAATAGAGACAATGTTGTCACTCACGCCTTTTACATCAATAGTCGATATTATATTTGGCTTGTAATATCTATAAACATCAGTTTAT